CCATAACGACAGCGAGCATTAGGATTTCTGCACTTACAGTGGGATTATACAAGATGGGGCTGTACAAACCGCCCCCCCCCCACAAAGGCAGAAAAAGCTCTGCACTGAATCTAACCCAGGTGAAACCTTGGCTCTACGTTGCCTTGAGAGAGTCTAGGATGAGCACTGGTATGGTGATGAACTGTTTTTGACTTGCTAACACAGATCCTTGATTTTCTTACAATATATGTTAAACAATAACCAGACAATTTATTAGACAAAAAAACTCTGAAACTGATTCACGTGTCATTGTGGCCATTTTAAGGGCGCACAGTCAGATTAGAGATGTGAATTGAACTGTTTTGCTTTTGGCAGCTTTAAGTTTCTGGATATAACTCAGCTGCATTGTTCTCTTGTATCAGAACCCGAAATTGTGTTTGCAAACAAGGAGAAGGTGCAGAAGGAGGTAAAGGCCACCCTCACAGAGAGCGCCACCCTGAGCTGCGAGGTGGCCCAGGCCAAGACCGAAGTGAAGTGGTACAAGGATGGAAAACTGGTCACTGCCAGCAAAAAATTCAAGGTGGAGTCCGAGGGCAAATCCCGGCACCTGGTTGTGCAAGGGGTGGAGAAGAAAGATGCTGGAAAATACACTTGTGAGGCTGCAGGCCAGGAGTTGACCTTCAAGATTGATGTCACAGGTGGGAAGGACACATCTCCATCCTGCAAAATATTGCCATAGTCTGAAAACAGGCTGCCCCTCTCCTCCTACCACTCTGGGTTGCTCCACCCCACCTTCCTGGTGCTCTGCTCACGGGGGGACATGGTGGCTGGCTGTGCGGGGCTGAGGGGAGAGGGGTGGCTGCAGAGCATGGCACAGGGAGTGGCCATGTTGTGGGAAGCGCTCGCCAGCTGTGTGGTGCAGGGAGTGGATCCGGCGTGTGGTGCAGGGAATATGGGGGGATGTGGTGCACAGGCTTAGGGTGTGGTGCAGGCAACAGCCATGGTGTGGGGAGCAACCGCTGGCTGTGGCCTCATGGTGCGGGCAGCAGCCTTGGGGTGTGGTGCACAGTGGTTAGTGGGGTGGGATGGATGGCTGTGAGTGGGGTGGCATGCGGCTTCAGGGCATGGCATGGGGGTGCTCACTGGATGTGGGGAGTGGCCCTGGGGTCCGGCACAGAGTTTAGGACGTCTTTATTCAGAATAGGCCGGTGTTGATCTGTAAGTGTGTTTTTAAATGGTTTCCTGAATTAGGGTTGTAGCATTCCCAGCTTGAGTGGGAAAAAAAATTCAAACCTGGCTTAGAAGACTGTGAGGAGTTCAAATCGGTTTTAGTATTCACATTTTGGAGCGCTGTGCTCATCCAGACTGATCCAAAACTCTGATTTGTATTTTTTGAGGTTTTTTTCATTCTAAGATGTAGATCCCAACCTCAGGGTGAGGCATGCCTCTTCCCAGATGGTGAAATGCCTTTCTGTCCTGGAAGGTACCCAGCAACTTCTTAGATTGGTACATTAGGTCCAAATTGAACAAGGTGCCCAAATAGGTTGCAAACTTTAAGCATGTTAAATCAAAGGAACTGCTCAACCTAAGGTTGCACGTGTGCTGATGTGAGTAGCCAAAATAGATTCTGCTAAATGATATGGGTATTGTACTAATTACAGGGTCTGTTCTGGAAGATTACCCTATCATTTGATTTCATGCTCGTGAGAAGAACAGAAAAAGGAAGAACTTTTGTGTTGAATGACCCGTTTTCAAAATATTTAAAGCCGCCCAGCAGAGACTACTGCTGTCAGCAAATGATGTGCTTCAGGGTTTACAAATATGCAGATCTGCTAAGACACATTAGATATGCTAATGTTCATCAATCTTTAATTTTGCCATGTCAACTCAGAGCCAGAAACAGGATTCATAAACCAGGAGAAGGTGCCGAAAGAGGTAAAGGCTGCTCTCACGGAGAACACCATCCTGAGCTGCGAGGTGGCCCAGGAGAAAGCTGAAGTCAAATGGTACAAGGACGGGAAGCTGCTCATCCCCAGCAAGAAATTCAAGCTGGAGTCAGAAGGCAAAACCCGACGTCTGGTTGTGCAGCATGTGGACAAGAGAGATGCTGGAGACTACACCTGTGAGGTTGCGGGCCAAAAACTGACCGTCAAGGTTGAGGCAGTCGGTGGGTGCTCTTCTCTCGGGCACTGGTATTGGGCAGAATTAGTCATTGGGAGTTATTATGGGGGATGTGTGCATGGTATGACTATCTCATACTCCTTAACTTCTGGCCACAATCGGGTCAAGATTTTCCTGAGGGTCACATCACTAAATTCAAATGAACTACATCACAAATGGCTTTGACTCATTGACTCGATGGGTGTTGTGTGGGTGGCACAGAATGCAGAATACGGCCAGCAGTCTGATGCCTGGGATTGCACCGGTTGTTTTTGCATTGTCTCCTTTGCACACATTATCACAAAGCCATGCACGGAGATGATGGGTGGAGAGAGAGAAGATTGCTTAGCAGCAACAGCTCTCGGTAACAAGGTTTGCCTTGGGCCGTGGCAGTGCATTATGGGAGACAGAAAAGAAGCTAAAAGATGAGACGCAAAGTAAGCAGATATGGCAACAGACAGAGTCATGGCAACACAGTGTATTGAGTCCCGTGAGTGATTTAAATTGGATTTAAGATTGATGCGAGAATAGGAAGGAGAGAAATGAAGATCATCATAACACACTGCAAAACAAGTGTTTTGAGGGACATGCTTGTGCACGTGCGTATTTGTGTGCTGTGATGATTTAATAAATTATGAACAATTTGCACAGGTTATTTCCTTTCATCCTTCTCAACAAAGGGTGCAAAACAAACGACCGATCTTCAGCTCAGTCTCCAGGTCATGATGGGTTTACATGGGGATGGTGGGCCTACGGTATGAATTGTGGTGCAAAACGCGGTTGAGAAATACACTTTTAAGGAGAAGAAAAGCCGGTTCGATGACTGTTTCTTTTGATCTCGTCCATAGAAGCTGAAGCAAAATTCCAAAAGAAACTTGTCCAGAAGGAGCCCATCGTTGTTCAGGAACATGACAGCATCACGCTGGCCACTTCAGTAACTCCTGAAACTTCTGCAGTTAAGTGGCTCAAGGATGGGGCTGAGATCAGGGGAAACAAGAAATATGAAATCAAGAGTGATGGGGCCTCCAGGACACTGATTGTGAAGGTGGCTGAGAGCAAGGACACTGCCGTCTATACCTGTGAGACCAAGAGTGACAAGCAGGAGTTCAAAGTACAGGTGAAAGGTGAGAGAAAGGAGCAGCAGGCACATGCCAGCTTGATTCCTACCAGAACTAAACTTGTCTCCCTGGGGGAGTGAGGCCCAGGGGTCAAACCTAATAATTATTCTCCTCCATCATTGCTCTGCTGTCTGGGTCCCTTGTGTGGCAGCTGCCATGGCTCCCTCTAAGGTTTGGCCAAACCATTTGGCCAACATCTGTACCAGTGAGTCTCAGCCATGGTGCCAAAGCACTCTGCGGTCCCTTAACATCCTGCCAAGGATGCTGCAGGGTGTTAGATGTGCAACCATGCTTCATAAGGTAAACCCAGAGATTTCCAAGAGGAATCCATAGCATCAAGTGTTTTGCCCTGTTCTGGGATTTCTGAGTCCTTTGCAATAGTCTTCAGCTCTATTATTTTTCTGTAGTCAAAAAAACTGATGGAAGCTAAGGGTTGGCATTTTTGGAGGGGTTTCTTGACTCTAAAGAAGAGTGCCTTGGGTCTAAAAAAGGTTGAGGACCAGCAGTCCCTACAGAGGAGAGCAAGGCGCTTCCTATGCCCAGTAGGCTAGTTTAGGACCCAGCCTGTCTCAGCAAAGTTTTAGCCTCATTTACACGTGACCTGAGCCATTGTACCTTGCTCTGTTTCCGGAGCAGCATGTGCTGCCCCTTCCTCCAGGGAGCGGTTGTAAATTTTCTCTAGCCCAGAAAGGTGGAGTAGGGCTGGCCCAGGAATGGATGAATCCTTCTATCTATCTTGATTCACTGAGATATCATCATAACTTTTAGTTGAGACGCTCTGATTACCCAGAGGAGTGGTCGCTGGGTTCAATAAACACAGAAATACATGAATGAGAAGAACTAAACAGTAAATTTTAACTGTGGAGCAGTAGGCAACTTCTGCAGACTCTTTGTCTCTTGCTAGCTAGCTAGATGCTTACTAACTGAGGGATTATCTCCCAGTGCCAACTCTCTCAGTCTCCTGTTAGGGAGCATCTATCAATTATAACCTGTATCACTACACCCAGGTAGGAAGAGAAGGATAGGGCTACAGCCAATCTCCATTTGACTGGGGCAAGTTCCTTGTATCTCTAGTGTCCTCAGATATAAAATAGAGGTGACTGTTTTCCCCACCTTCCTGAAGTGCTTTGAAATCTCAGGATTAAAAAGTCCATTTTATTGTCACCGAGTTGGAATCGGTGCCCACTGCTGACGCTGTCTTTCATTTCCACTTCCCTTTGTGCCCCAAATCCCGTTACTTAAAAGTAAAAAAGAGGTTCCCGAGGTGATTTGCTCAGCTCCTTTGTGTTCATTCTAACGAATCACAGAAATCCCTGTGAAGTTTGCAAAGAAACCGGAAGCCATGACTGCTGAGATTGGAGGGAGCCTCTGCCTGACCTGTGAGCTGAGCCAACCCAAGGGGAAAGTGGTGTGGCGCAAGGGCGGCACGGAGGTCAAATCCAACAAGCGCTTTCAGATCCGGGAGGACGGTGTCAAGCGGATCCTGACCATCACAGGACTTAGGGCTGACGACGAGGGAGAGTATACCTGTGAATCCCGAGATGACAAGAGCACTGTTAAGGTCACTCTCACAGGTACAGTGCCAAAACCAAACTGTGACAAACAGCTCCCATAGGGGCACTTATGTATGGGAAGCAGCAGGTAAGCTGACTGGGGGGGTGTCCATCTGCACGTGCAGCACAGCAATTGGGGAAGGGGTTGTGGCTCATGCTAGCTTGGCCCCCACTGCATGCGGCCTCCAACCACTTACACATCGAGCATCCCTGGCTCATGATATCGTTGCTTTTATGCAGAAGTTTATGTGGCATTTGGGGCAATAAAGGGTCCCATATTGCAGATGATGAAGGAAGGAAATGCAGCATGTGCAGGGAGATCCTGAGTATCAAAATTGCTAGAGTTAAGAGTTTCCTTCTGTGTTTTGCCAGCTCCATGTATAGAAATAGGTCAGTGAGAAATAATGTGACAGGAAATCTTCCTTGGATCTCTCAAGTGTATTTAACAGCCTTGCGGTAGCAGGACATTGCCAGTGCCCCTGTTCCCCTGCTTTACCTGTGCCAGGTTAGGGTGTTTGGGGTATCCTTGGGTGCTTTGTAGTTGGGTGACAGAGTTGTTTGTGGTGTTTTCAGACTAGGTTAGACAAGCACATGCATGGGATGGTTTGGATAGGGGTGCACCTGCCTTGAACCAAGTGACCTGTACTTACGGCAGAACAATCCCCTGCACCGGTGCAAGCTGGGGCTGACAGGCTGAGCAGCAGCTCTGCAGAAAAGGACCTGGGGGTGACAGTGGACATTAGGCAGAATACGAGCCAACAGTGTGCACTTGTTATGAAGAAGGCTACTGCCATCCTGGGCTGCATTGGTAGGAGCGTTGCCAGCAGATGAAAGGAAGTGATTCTGCCCCTCTATTCAGCACTGGGGAGGCCACATCTGGAGTCCTGTGTCCAGTTTTGGGCCCCCCACTACAGAAAGGATATGGAAACATTGGAGAGAGTCCAGAGGGCAAAGAAAATCATTTGAGGACTGGGGGACATGACTTCTGAGGAGAGGCTGAGGGAACTGCAGAAGAGAAGAAAGAAGTGGGATTTAATAGCAGCCTTTAACACCCTGTAGGGGGTTCAAAAAGGGAGCTGGACTATGCTCAGTGGGGGCAGATGACAGGACAAGGACCAATGGGCTCAAGTTGCAACAAGGGAAGTTGAGATTGGATATTAGGAAAAACTTTCTTTCTGGAAGGTTAGTTAAAGCACAGGAACAGGTTACCCAGAGAGGTGGTGGACTTTCCATCCTTGGAGGCTTTTAAGACTCAGCTAGACAAAGCCTTGGCTGAGATGATGTAGTTGGGGCTGGTCCTGCTTGGAGCAGGGGGTTGGACTAGATGTGACCTCCTGAGCTCCCTTCCCACCCTCGTTTTCTATAATGACCTCCTGAGGTCCCTTCCAGCCAGAGGCACCAAGGGCCCTGGTCCCCCTTGGGAAGAGAGCTGTCACCTGAAATGCATAAAACTTTCCACATGGCCATCATCGTGGGCCCCACCACCCCTGGCAAAAAAATAAATAAATCAGTACCTTTGCATCCAGCCCTACTTTTCTATGATCCTTTGACCCCTGTATCACAGTTCCCAAACTGCTCAAGTTGCAATGTCTCTGTCAAAGCAATGTTTATTCATACCAACGATGATATTACTGATCCTTTCTACTCTTCTGAGGTGCTCATGGGCTGGGGTTATCCCACGGATGCGCTGCTAAAATCTTTCCTTCTTGTCTCTCAGTCCCCAGAGTGGTGAAGTTCACTACAGGCCTTCTCAACACGGTGTGTGAAGAAGGAAAGGAGGCCAACTTCAAATGCACCGTCTCTCCCAGTGATGCTGTGATTACATGGCACAGGAATGGGGTCAAAATTGAAGCCAGCAAGAAATATGTGATCTCTCAGAAGGACTCAAACCACAGCCTCACCATCACTGACTTGACCATGAAGGATGCTGGGGAAATCTCAGCCGTAGCTGAGGGTGTGGAAACCAAAGCCACCCTCAAGGTCCGAGGTGAGAGACTGAAAGTCCCCTTTGCCCAGCTATGATTTTCCATCATGGGGTGTATTGTTTCATGCATTTCTTTTCCTGTTGACTGGATTAGCAATAGGTGTGAAAAATCCCATCCTTTCTGGCGTGTCTACATGAGACGCTGAGCGCACAATAGTGTGTCACAGCACAGACCATGCTAATACACTACTGCCCAGTATTATTTTTATTATATTATCTTTATAAAATAACCATTATATTACATGATGTTACATTATGTTTTATTATGTTACATTATATTATATTATGTTACATTATGTTACATTTAATAAAATAAATGCTTTTATGTACCCCTGCACAGTAGCATTACCTAAAAGACATTCACAAGCACTATTGCACATTGTCTCCAGTTACTGCACATTTATTTAGTGCTTGCACTATAAATGTACTAAATATAAGCACTAACTCAAGGCGCAGCAACGACTGCGCAGTAGCATCTCATGTAGACATGCCCTCTGGGCATTAGATTAAAGCCCACTGTGTGATGCTGCTGGACCTGCTC